GCTAACAATACTCCTAAAACCTAACCCTAACACTAACACTAAACCGAACAAAAACCCTAAAAACTAACCTTAAACTTAAACCTAAAACCCAAATCTAACCCAAATCTTATCCCTAAAACCTAACCCTTACCTTAACTTTAAACACTAACCATAAAACCCTAATCCTAAACCCTAACACTAAGACCTAGCGCCAAAACTATCCCTAAAACCTAACTCTAACCCTAAACCCGGAACCTAATCCCAAAAATCTAAGACTAAACTTAATCTTAAAACCTAACCCTAACCCTAAAACCTTACCCAATAATTAACCCCAAAAGCCTAACCCTAACTTAAGGCCTAAAACCTAACCCTAACCCTAACAATAAACCCTACCCCCAACCCGCAAAACTAACCCTCAACTTAACCATAAAAGCTAACACTATACCTGACCCTAACCCTAAGCCTAAACCAAAACCCTAACCGTAACCCTAACTCTAAACCTATCACTAAAACCTAACAGTAACCTTAATGCTAAACACTAACGTTAAACCTAGCGTCTAACACTAACCCTAACACTAAACACTAAAACAAACCCTAACGCTTAACCCTAACGTTAAGCCTAAATCCCAACATTAACCATAACCCTAACCCTAACGCCAAAACCTAGCCCCAAAACTATCCCTAAAACCTAACCCTTACCTCAACCCTACACACTAACACTAAAACCTAAAGCTAACCCTAACCCTAACCTTAAAACCTAACCCAAACATAAAACCTACAACCTAACCCTAACCCTGACAATAAACACTAAACCTAACCCTAAAAACTAAACCTAACCTTAACCCTAAAAGCTAACACTAACCCTAACCCTAAAGCTAAACACTACCCCTGACCCTAACATTAGGACATAGCCCCAACACTATCCAAAAAACCTAACCCTAACCATAACCCTAAACCCTAACACTAACCTAAAATCTAACCCAAACCTTCACCCTAAAACCTAACCCTAACCTAAACCCTAAACATTAACACTAACCCTAACGTCTAACCCTAACACTAACCCTAAACCCTTACCCCGACCCTGAAACCTGCCCCTAACGCTAAGCCTAAAACCGAACATTGACCATAACACTAATTCTAACACTAAAACCTAACCCTATCCTTAAACCCTAACCCTAACACTAAAACGAACAGTAACCCTAACACTAACACAAACCTCTAGCCTCAATCCTAACCCTAAAACCTACCCCTAATCCTATCCATAGGACCTAACCCAAACACTAACCCTAAGCCTTACTCTACAAGATAACAATAACCATAACACAAACCCTAAAACCTAACCCTAAACTCTAAACCAAAAATCTGGCCCTATCCTTGACCCTAAAATCTAACCATAACCTTAACCCTAAAAGCTAACCCTAAACTTAACAACAAAATCTGACCATAACCCAACCCCTAAAATCTAGCCCTAACCTTAACACTAAAACCTAACCCTAAGGCTAAATTTAACCCTAAGCCTAACCCTAAAACGTAACCCTAAACTTAACACTAAAACCTAACCCCAACCTTAACCCTAACCTTAACCCTAAACCGTAAACCTAACCCTTAAACCTAACCCTAACTCTGAAATCTACCCCTAACCTTAACACTAAAACCCTAACCCCACAGCGCAAACCCTAACCCCAACCCTAAAACTTAATCCTAAGCCTAACCCTAACCCTCACTAAGCCCAACAACCTGACTGAAATGGGCGACCTGCCTAACTCAGTAGAAACACTCACCTACTGATGACAAGTTTCCTCGACAAGGGAAACACACCTGCTGATTACAAGTAAGTATGTCGACAGTATCTTACCGAATTTTCTTTTGTATGAAGTAATCACAAAATACTCAGTCTTTGGTATGTCGTTGGTCGCGGACAAAACCTTCGCATGACACTTAACACATCGGGGTTGAGGGTCATGATAATGGGTCCATATAGACATTTCTGCAGTTGTCTGCAAGGTTAATAGCACAGGCCGGTGAGACACGCAGGCCAAGCCCAGTTGGGACACAGGATAAAGAATAACCGAAAACACCTACTTAAGTAAATGCAGTAGTCAGTCTTGTGTACTAATAGGCATACTCCAGCGACAAACCATACCCTTACCGAAATTTCCGCCCTAAAGACCAGGTCCTTGCTAACTAAACTGCCTTCGCTTCAGACTCTGGAGTTTGCTCAATTTCTGGGCATTATTCTCATAACTGAGACGTGGACAGCGTCTCACTGACAACCTAACACCAGTGAAGATTTTGGTCTTTGTCTCTCGCAAACACGTCATACTGCGGTCGATTAAAATTGCAAGTATCAGTTAGTCGCGAATAACTTCAATTTCCCGTAAGTCTGCCGGGTTCCTCCTTCTGATGTTGAAAGAATCCAAAACCTTATCCGACGTCATGGATTTCAGCTCGTGGGATCAAGTTGCTGATTTCCCTACTTGAGGACTGAGCATACTTGAACTGATTTTCGGTAGAGGTTGCTTGTTGTTGTCACCGTCATCCCCAGATGCACTTGGGGTTCTGATCACGACGTAGTTTTTTCTGCGTTAGCTTCCGAAGATGATTGATTTTTTAAAAAAATATAGCTTTCTCTTCCACTTTCGATCAGCCTGTTTGGAGGACTTACTGACACACCTTAAATCTCATAACTGGACTCATTTATACTCAAGTTTGGGTCTAAATGTTTCCGCCGCTGAATTTTACAGAGTTATGAACTCACTTGACTTCCCTTTGGTTTCTTCTTTATCCTTTCCATGTAACAGGGAAGACTTCCATCGTTTTTATCTGCAAAACAACATTTCGGTTCTACACTTGGTCCCCAGCGTTTTTGGGTGAGCTAAAAGTTGTCCAAAGAAAACCAGTTAAATAGTGAAACTAACTTTGTCGAAAAGCGCTCGCTAAATTTCGCGAAACTTTTTATCGCACGATATGAAAAATGGCGGACGATCCGCGGGTTAACTGAGAGCTAGGTGGAGGTGCTCCCTCCCCTCAACCTTAAACAGTTTTCCGGATTGTTGTAGAACCAATTCCATGCTCCAACTGGTGCATTTAGCCGTTAATATAAACTATATTAAAACGCACTTTGGTCACGCGAAGGGCACTTTTTACTGTGTCTTGCGCACCGGTCGTGAGTTCTCATCCAACCTAACGTTGTCCAAGTGCCTTTGATACTGTGATACGTAATCTATTTCCTTTTATTGTTGTGTTAATTACTGCGGTTTCTTGGTAATTTGGAGTCATCTGAGATACAAATGGGTTTACTTACCGAACGACATCTTTTGCAGCACAGCAACTGTTCAGAGTGTATTCATACCCTAAATTTGTTGTCTTTTATGACGGGTGCCAAATAAGCGGCCGCAGGTCTTCCATCACGGCCACCTTACGTACTATTGTTTGTTCAGTAGGTGTGCTTGTGGTATTTTTTTTGCCGCCGCGGCAAAAAAAATACCACAAGCACACCTACTGAACAAACAATAGTACGTAAGGTGGCCGTGATGGAAGACCTGCGGCCGCCACGGCCAGAAAAAAACCCTCAAACACACCTACCGACCAGACTCGGTAGGGTTTACGCGGAGTTCCCATCCCCTGTTGCCTAAAATTTATGTCCAATATACAATGCCACTTTTATGCCCTTACGCACACAAACTTCTCTTTTCCTAAACCACCTCTGGGCAGTTCGCATGCGCGGCAGTTGCGCTGTTAACTGCGGGTTTGCCGGTTTCGTGGTTTACGTGCAGTTTCCCGTCATCATCTTTCGTTTTCAGGTCATGGTCCACTTACCTCCCCTCCCACGCATTCCGGAGTCCACCTAACTGAGGTGCCAGCATTTCCCTTTCGTCAGTCAGACTACCACTTACGTCAGCTGTTTACTAACGTTTCCAGCCCGGCATCCACTTCCGGGCGTGTACATGAACCTCCGGCCCTCCCTCCGCATATTCTGCAACAGCCCCCCCCCCCAAGCTTACAGCCTACGCCGTCCAAACATAAGACTCACTTGGGGCAGCTGCTACCAAAGGCTTCAGGCTCTTACACCAGTGCGGTATTTTCATACACCCCTACCGCTCCCTCACCGCCTAGCCCACGCCTTTCTCCCTCCCCCCTTCCAAAGGCCTGTCACCTACGCCGTCCCAACATCAATCCCGGCAGTCCCGCTCCCCTTTAGGCAAGCTTACCGCATTCGACAATTCCCTCACCTACTGTACCTCCCACCCGGCTTTGTTAGTTGACCGGATATGCCCTTCCCCGCGGGTGGTTCACGTCGCCAGTTACCAGCTACACCGATTCCTACTTACCGTCTACCATGGCCGGCTGCGGCCTAAGGCAGTCTCTTCGCACCTCCCTGTTCCCGCTCTAAAGGCCTTCCGTAATCACTCCCTTCCTGCCCCTTAAGGGTTTATCGACGAGGCTTAGTGGACGTCATTGCATTATTCTACGTCGGTAAACATGTTCACGTACCAAGCCTCCAGGGTGGTCGATCAGTCGCAATCCTTACCGTGCGATGATGGCTACGTTACCACTGCTAGAGATACCCGCCCATCCCACAGACAACGTCCGTTCAACTCCTCCATTAGTGATCCATAGGCACCTATCAGCCAACGCAGCCCTGTGATTGAAATTTACTCAACTGCGTATCACACCTTCTCTCATTCCGGAGGCTTAGCAGCACCGTAAGCAAGAACAACGCCTTAGAAAGATGCAACATTTACTCCGAATTAGGAAAAGGAACAATACACTAGACATAAAGCGTAGTAGGGAAAATCGTCCCCGACTTCCTTGGGCAGCCGGCCTGCCACATCAGTAACATTCAACAGTTAGGTGTACTACAAAAGGGTATGCGATTACACGCTTGCAATACAATGCCGTACCCCCTATCAACTTAAGCATTCATCTTTGGTAGAGGGTATCCTCATCGTCAGCAGACAATGGCACAATCACTGTAGGTAGGCATGGACAGTAAATAAAGGAAGTACGGAGTCTTCCTTTTACGTCTTCCATCTGCGCCTTCTTTGGTTAGCTTCCACAAACGTCCTTGGTTGGCTCTCCTCAATCGCCAGTTCTCCCATCGCCAGCAGGTAACGGCCACAGGCACTGTAGGTAGGCATGGAGAGTAAGTGGACGATATACAGAGTCATACCTTCCAGTCTTCCGACTGCGCGTTCGTTGGTTGGCTTCTCTAATCGTCCATGGTTGGCTCTCCTCAATCGACAGCTCCCTCTTTGACCGGCCGGCAACGGGCAGAGGCGCTGTAGGTAGGCATGGAGAGTAAGTGGACGAAGTACAGAGTCATACCTTCCAGTCTTCCGTCCGCGTGTTCGTTGGTTAGCTTCTCCAACTGCCGATGGTTGGCTCTCCTCAATCGACAGCTCCCTCTTTGACCGGCCGGTAACGGCCACAGGCACTGTAGATAGGCATGGAGAGTAAGTGGACAAGTACAGAGTCATACCTTCCAGTCTTCCGTCTGCGCCTTCGTTGGTTAGCTTCTTCAATCGTCGATGGTTGGCTCTCCTCAATCGACAGCTCCCTCTTTGACCGGCCGGTAACGGCCACATTCACTGTCGGTAGGCATGGAGATCAAATGATGGAAGTAACGATGCTTACCTACACGTCTTCTGTTTGCGCCTCCGTTGGTTAGCTTATCCAGTCACCGTTGGTTGGCTCTCTTCAATTGGATACGCTTCTGCCCAATGTCGTAGGAAAGTTTCCCAGCAGGCTGCCATGTTGTCGGCCCTTAGGTCGAACCAGAGGCGGTACTAAACCTCATCTAGGTGGGCCCACACTGCCCTGTTACAGACAGGTCCAGACTCCTGCAGCTTCCTCTTTAACCTGCTCCAGTAGGCCTCTATGGCGTTCGTATGCCGTCCTGTTGTGGCATTCACGTACCCCTACGGTGGTTGAGAGTGTAGTGCGTATAACCTTCCGACGGTAGGCGGGTGCAACCCTTCCACTCATCGGTTACGATAACACTGCCAGCAGCCACCCACTTCCTTATGACGGGCCTTAGGGCCTCCCAGCGCGGTTGTTAATCTGCTCAAATGGGGCTTTCCACCTGCGTGTATCGTACATACCGACGACGCACAACTGCCGCCGCGGTCGTCCCCTGTTATACTTGCGGCGACTTATGAGCGTCTCGTCTATCTGTACTTCCACGCCTGGTCCCCCACTTTGGGTTACGGCGGATAGAAGTGCGTGTGAGCGGGCCCCGCGGCAAATGCCGTACCATTTCATGGCAGTATTTCTACTGACACCTACACTTGCCGCACACCGCTTGGCCCGCACACCTTCTACAAACTTGTAGCATATACGCATCAGTGTCTGCAGACTGAGCTTACTACCAATGAACATTGACCCCGTCCGCAGGCACCGCTTCCGTCTGCAGTGTCCACAACGGACTGCATATCCGTCCGTATGCTGCCGCAACACTTGCATCTGCACAGTACGCCGACATCGGCATGCTAAGGTGGTGGCCAGCAACCTCCACCGCTGCAGGTACTGAACGACCCCCGCTGACTGAAGGACGGCTTGTATTTCATCCTCGGCCGTCGGCATAATCCGCTGAGGACCGCGCCTACGTCCGCCTGCATTCGGTTTACGTAGGCCTGCAAACTGCTCCCACCATGGATACTTACAAATCCCGTAAAACAGCGACCTTACACACAGCGGCCGCCAAGTTCGGGAGTTTGCCGACTTGCTGTAGGTTGGTGCGGTGGCGTTGGAGTACGTCCAGGTATCCTAAACATTTTTCGCGTTATGCGTATTAAACGGTGCATGCGGTGGAGACCACCGATATAACAAATAGGGAGGGGGTGAGGAGGGGGTCAATAAGGGGCTGGGAAGTGACGCAATTGTCATAAGCAGTTTATTCAAATACTCTTACCCAACCGCAGTACACCGCTGTCCCCTCGCGTCCACCCTTGCGCATCGTCTGTTTCCCGTCCATCTGATGCACACCACTTTCAAATGTGGCGCCAACGATCCCATTGGTTAACCGCTTGGCGGTTCGGGTTTACTCGCCCCGGCCGCCAATCACATCACGTCCCAGGCCAGCCCACCTTCGATTGGGCATTGCCTACGGTTTTCCCTATTTGCGCGCCATCCTCCGCTATTTTTGACTTCATTAAAACAAATAATTATTTTTCTGCGATTTCCAACATTTTTCGGCATCCAGCTGTCAATCCAGTGCCCTTTGCCGCTTACCCCGCCCGTTCTTCCCCTCAAAACCGCCATCCCGTTGTACCCGACCCACCTAGAGAAGATTTCTCACTGTGACCGCCTGTTGGGCCTCGGCCGGATAGGTCAATGCAGCCTGCACCAGTGCCCTCCTACCAGTAAGCAGGTTTAACTCACTTACTGGTTAGTGTGGCAAGCGAAAAAGGCACACAAACTACCCAAACCAACTTGCTGTACTCAAATACACCGCGAAATTGACTGCCTCCGGTAAGACTATTCACAATGTCACCGACAACCACCTAAGAGAAAACCAGACTACGTAGCGGAACAGTGCCTTACGAACTATAGTGATTTACAGCAGCCGAAGGTAACCATGCCCGACATTCTTCAAGCCGTGCAGATCCACTTCATCCCTGCGAGGCAGAAGACCTCACTTCCGCACTGGCCACTGTGCACTTGGTCGGTCAGGTTCTGGAGCCGACTTAGCACAGGATGTAGTAAGCTAATATGTTTATTTGTATGTTTATAACGGCTTCTAGGCATTCTGCTCGACCTTCTCCCCCCTATGCCTCAGCTTCTGATGGGGAGGATCAATAGAAAAGAGGTCGTTTGCACGCCATCCTCTCCATTCTGTCCTCTCCAGTATGTCAAATTTTCTTATTGGCTTACACAGACGCTATTCGGCTAAATCAAACATTCACTAACTGTCCAACCGAGACAACTGGCAAAACCGAAATTGGCTGGTTCCGTCAGAGGACACGGTAATTACGTGTGGAACTTTACTATTAAAAAGTTTTATGCAACCATCATCATATACATAGTTATTACTAGAAATGTTTGGACTGCTTAAATAGTACGAGGTTTTTGGGCTCAATTGACAAACTAATTATCTAAACATTATATTGTCCTACTGTAGTTGCGTTGTATTGTACTTACAAACAGACTCCCTTGCTTGCAATAACCTGCTGCGGTGACCGAAAGCGGTACCTTTAGTGGATCGTGAACCCGAACAAAGCACCTGTGCCTTATGCAAACGTTCCTACGCGTCAAACGTTTTTTGATTTCCCAAAACACATCTTTTTTCGCTATTTCCAATCAACCGTATAATTTTATGGTGATCAGTGCTGCGCCAACAGGCAATTTCTTGTGTAATCGGGCGGGGTTACCCTAGGTAGGGCGTGATGGGGTCAATTTGTTACATTTAGTGATTACACGGTAGTCCATGGTCGTCGGAAGTGTGATATTAAACGTCTGGCGACAGACTCCATATCAAAAAGAGTACCAGAAAGACGCGAAAAGAGTCACCCTCCCATACATTTTTAGTGAGCTGTCCGGGGAGCCGCATTCCACCCATGCTGCGTCATAGCCCCTTTCAGCTTCATTTGGCTAGAGGTCCCAATTTTGTTCTCTGAATTCCAAATTCAAATGATTCGTTTCCGTCTCATTCACTTTAGCCTTCGAAACCTTTCTAAGTTCTTAGAAGGAATCACATATCCTGTCTCTCCCCAAGCACGACAGTCCTACATACTTTGATGCTTTTCGGTCAAAAAACCTTTCCAATGACTGCAAAAATGTCGAGTACTCAAATCAGAGGTAAGATTCTGCCCAGCTTAATACATAATAACCTGCCGAATGCAATTCAGTGGAATCATGAAAGCTCGATCCTGTTTGACCTACCAGCTCTCTTATTTATCATATTTCACAGTCGCAGGCCGAGGGATCCGTTCTTTGTACGGGTTTGTTTGATATGAGTGAAAGAATTTGAGTATGTTGAGCACACTCTTCTTCTTCTTCTTCTCCTTCTTCTTCTTCTTCTTCTTCTTCTTCTTCTTCTTCTTCTGATGGTTTCATCGTTGGGAATGGAAGGAAAACTTTTGATTTCATACTCTCTTCGGCAGACTTTAGCACACGAAGAGATTTGATTTCCAGCCCTAGTTCCAGCCTAACGCGTGTGAGAATTTAGTTTTTTTCCAGAACAGTGTGCTTCATGTCATGCTTTTTGCCAATGATGTGTCATCTATCTTTCAAAGTGGCAGACCTTATATGCACGCTGACGACTTGAAAATTACCTATCAGCACTTATGATCCGGCAGATCATTAAATCATGCTCGAGCACTTTAAAAACAACCCGCAGCCTTTTGTCTGCCGGTGTTACACATGGCGCCTTTTCTCTGCCTGGCGTGAGTGTTCAGTTATTATTTTTGGCAAGGACAATCAGCCGGAACTGAGCAGGGATGGATGAGGGATTAGTGTGTCAGGATTTAATAACGATCTGGCTATATCTTAATTGAAGTCTCAAATATTTCTAGATTTGCGCCCTGATTGTCTCCAGGGCGAGCAGAAGGGCTAGATGTAGCATCCAAACACTTAAAACTACCAACGTTAGGACTCTTCTCTGTAAAATGTACTTGAGACCTGGACTACCATACTGTTCTTTTGTATTAGTTTCGTACGTGCTGGTGAGCACAAGGAAACTGAATCCGTCTAGCATCATTTATCAAAAGAGTCTGCCCCTCGAAAGACCGAAACTTGACTCACAAGTCCTGATCCTCGATGGCTTCTGAGTTCCAAAAGGAGCTATTTTTAATATCCCAGCTGTTAAATTGATATAACTTTAATTATCTGACAGTCTAGAGGCACGTGGGGTCTATTTATTTCTTCTTCTCACAGGTACCGCTAAGCTTAGCTAGATTTCTTCTGTCGACGCAATTACAATCTGCAACAAGTTACCCACTAACGTGAGAATTCCGAAAACGACCCCCTGCTTAGAGGAGATATCACTCGCTTTCTTCATTTAGAGCAACTTCCAGAACTCCTGGATGCCGAATCCACTGAATTAATCCTCCACAATTATGACATTTGTAGTATTTAACCTGGCTTCATTGTGAGGGTGAACGCTGTCGACTTTGTAGTTTGTCACTCAGTCTGTATAATCTTCAGTCTTCAGCGAGCTACTGTCCACTCCTGCACCCCTTGTCTGACCTCAGCCTTTTTTCCGTTGAGGAGGAACGGAACAGACAACATCCGGCTTTTCTCGTAGTCATTAGATCCTGTTCTTGGTCGTGGTCATTTTCCGGGCTGAAAGTTTTTATTCCGAATAATCCCGAAGATAAAATACGGTTTTATTATCCATGAGTCAACTGACTTTGCGTCATTACGTCAGAAGCTTGTTCACTGCTTAGTCCACGCTCTATCCTGACCATGCTTGCAAGCTGGTCTTCAAAATACTTATTGTCCATTGATCTCTCCAAGGTCCTAAAAATGCAGAATTTAATTGCGGTGTACGGAACTCTGGTTACAGTGCTTGATACGCTATGACATAAAAATAACTTCCAAAAAGAGTCTACATACCTTCCTCAACTGGAGAAATTTACATAGCTAA